GAATTTGCATAAATAATTAATATAATGTGTCAAGCAATGTGAATGTAACAGCCATTGTCAATTTTAATTCTTTTAAGCCAGGCTCTAAAATTTTCCATGTGTTTTTACAGCTGATTTTTGTTGGATGAAAAACTTGGGAACAGACCGCCTTTGTGGTGGATGATGAGAGTTTATAGTACAGGGTTACCAGGTAGCACAGACACGAAGGGACCCCTAGGGGCGAAGAACGTCATTGATCTAGATACCAGTCCACATATCAAGCACATTTGATCATTCAATTTGGAATTGCTGCTTTATAAATATTTGGCATTTATATTATTACTATTAATGCAGTTCCAATTTAGTGTGTAAGTAAGAGTAGGCTATATTCTGGCAAAAAAAAGCTACTGTAAATCTATAATGCAATTACTGTTTCATTTGTATTTCAGCAAGCTGTATGTGCCCCAAGTCGCATCTCGTTTTTGACAAGCAGACGGCCAGACACAACTAAACTGTACGACTTTAAATCCTACTGGCGAACATTTGCAGGCAACTACACAACTTTACCACAGCATTTCAAAGAGAATGGATATTTCGCAGCTAGTGTTGGAAAAGTTATGCATCCAGGTAATGGATGTTGGGCTGAAGTATGAAAAAAGGTCATTGCACTCTGGGTCACTGGTATGCATAAGTAAAGGGTCTAGTAGCCCACCATCCCTATGATAATAATGGAATGATTTTACCCCGATTCCACAGTAAAGATGTTTCTATTTTACTGACTTGTAATAGGATAACCTCTTGCTTTCTAGCATGGACGCATACCGTAATGCAGATGTGACCAACATACTTTTAAATACTGTAACATGTTAATCAGTACATTATTTTTTCCCCTCATAGGTAAAGCGTCAGGGGGAAATGATGATTACCCGTATAGTTGGTCAATCCCTGCTTATCACCCACCGACACAACTGAACAAAACATCTAAGGTTAGTAAGAGCAAATCTATAACAAAGCTCGTTCAACCGGCTGGGCACACTGAATTAGAGTTTAGGGAGGGGTTTGCGCAGTGTTTGTGGTTCAGGCTTCATTGAGGTCAGGAGTTCAAATGTGTGAATTATCTGTTTGTCTACAGATAGGAATATATATATATATTTTTTTTTAAATGCATAAGTTCTGTTAAATTATATTCCTCCCTAGGTTTGTGAGAATCCAGATGGGACCCTCCATGAAAATCTGATCTGTCCTGTTGATGTTGCAAAGATGCCCGGCAAATCGCTACCGGACATACAGAGCACGGACCATGCAATCGAAATCATCAAGAACATTTCTAAACTGACAAAAACTAGCAAAAACTTTACACAACCATTCTTTTTAGCCGTCGGCTACCATAAGCCCAACGTACCATTTACGTATCCAAAGGAATATGAGGAACTGTACCCATTGGATTCCATCTGGATGCCACCCAATAACTTCTTCCCTCCAGATCTTCCAACAGTAGCGTGGGAACCATATCAGATGATGAGGACAAGAGAGGATGTCCAGAGTTGGAATATTAGTTATCCTTTTGGACCAGTACCATTAAAATACCAGGTAATATCTTCACATGATGATTTCAATTTTTTAAAATAAAATTGCACTAAACCGATTAAGTTCACATTAGTTGGTCCTTTCTTAACGTTCTCTTGGAT